TACAATATAGTGCAATATAATAAAGCCTATTCTAACCAAACCGTTAATTACTTTTAATAAAAGCAAGCTCTCTATTTTTTTTATTTTTATTTTTAATCTTTTTTTAATTTTTTTTTTTTTTAATAGACGGGGTTTCACCATGTTGGTCAGGCTGGTCTTGAACTCCCGACCTCAGGTGATCCGCCCGCCTTGGCCTCCAAAGTGCTTGGATTACAGGCCTGAGTCACCACGCCTGGCCTCTTTTTAAATATTTTATCAAAAGATGTATCAATATTTTCAATAATTCTGGAGAGATTTTTGTGGGATATAAGCAAAAATTGGTGAACAGAACTTTTATTCTCACAAACTCTAAAACTGTATGGCCCTATTCTCAAAGGTGTGCAACTAGAAATATTTTTTTTTTTTTTTGAGAGGGAGTCTCACCATCACCAGGCTATAGTGCAATGGCATGACCCTGGCTCACTTGCAACCTCTACCTCCTGGGTTAAACCATTCTCCTGCCTCAGCTTCCCGAGTAGCTGGAATTACAGGCACCTGCAACCACACCTGGCTAATTTTTTTAATTAGTGGGGGGGGGGTGGTTCATCATGTTGGTCAGGCTGGTCTCTAACTCCTGACCTCAGGTGATCCACCCACCTCAGCCTCCCAAAGTGCTGGGACTACAGGCGTGAGCCACCAGGACCAGCAAAAATATGGCCTTTTAATACTCAATTTCTACTTAACGTTTTTAGTAAAATTTCCAACCCTATAAAGAAAGTAGCAACAGAATCCCAATCACTAATGAGAATATATCCCCATGACAACAGAGGTTTCTCCTGGATAAACAAGATGTTTGGTATGTGAAACATTATCACAAAGAGAAGTATTTAATAGTTTTTTTTTTTTTTTTTTGAGACAGTCTCACTTTGTCTCTAGGCTGCAATGCAGTGGCACAGTATCAGCTCACTGCAACCTCCGCCTCCTGGGTTCCAGCAATTCTCCTACCTCAGCCTCCTCAGTAGCTGGGATTACAGGCATGGGCCACCACACCCAGCTAATTTTCTTTTTTTTTTTTGAGACAGGGTCTCGCTCTGTTGCCCAGGCTGAAATGCAATGGCGGGATCTCAGCTCACCTGCAACCTCTAGCTCCCAGGTTCAAGCGATTCTTCTGCCTCAGCTTCCCAAGTAGCTGCGATTACAGGCACCTGCCATCACACCCAGCTAATCTTTGTATTTTTAGTAGAGACGGGGTTTCACCATGTTGGCCAGTCTGGTCTCAAACTCCCGACCTCAGGCACTCCAGCTGCCTTGGCCTCCCAAAGTGCTGGGATTACAGGCGTGAACCACCATGCCCAGCCTATTTTTTGCATTTTTTACTACAGACAGGGTTTCACCATGTTGGCTAGGCTGAACTCGAACTCCACACTTCAAGTGATCTGCCCACCTCAGCCTTCCAAAGTGCTGAGACTACAAGCGTGAGCCACCACGCCCAACCTACTTAATAGTATTTTTTGGAATTGGTTCTTGCTCTTGATTCAAGATTTCCTAAAGTCCACCTTTCAAAGGAACTTGTGACACATACCAGCATATTCAGAGCCAATACCAACACCCAAAATGCCTCCAAACTAAGTTATAATAATTAAATACGTTTTTCACAGAGAGAAATGACAGGCTCAATAATAAGGGTTTAGTTATATACTATATAAAACTTAATCATTCAAATGAAGAATAATGAAATAGTTTTTAAAAAATGACATTTAAGAACATAAACATTTAACTAATATGCTGTCTAGTTCAATTATGAGTCTAACTGAAACTTTCAGGAGCAAATGATCAATAATGACTTCTTCTTTTTTTTTTTTTTTTTTTTTGAGACGGAGTTTCGCTCTTGTTACCCAGGCTGGAGTGCAATGGCGCGATCTCGGCTCACCGCAACCTCCGCCTCCTGGGTTCAGGCAATTCCCCTGCCTCAGCCTCCTGAGTAGCTAGGATTACAGGCACACGCCACCATGCCCAGCTGATTTTTTTATATTTTTAGTAGAGACGGGGTTTCACCATGTTGACCAGGATGGTCTCGATCTCTTGACCTCGTGATCCACCCGCCTCGGCCTCCCAAAGTGCTGGGATTACAGGCTTGAGCCACCGCGCCCGGCCGAATAATGACTTCTTAAAACCAGCTTTTGCTGGGTACAGTCACTCATGCCTGTAATCCCAGCACTTTGGGAGCCTGAGGCAGGTCAATCACCTGAGGTCAGGAGTTTGAGACCAGCGTGGCTAACATAATGAAACCCTGTCTCTACTAAAAATACAAAAATTAGCCAGGTATGGTGGTGGGCACCTGTAATCCCAGCTACTTGTGAGGCTGAGGCAGGAGAATCACTTGAACCTGGGAGGTGGAGGTTGCAGTGACCTGAGATCATGCCACGCACTCCAGCCTGGGCAAGAGAGTGGTACTCTGTCTCAGAAAAGGAAAAAAAGAAAAAAAAACTTTATAGAGATATAATTTATATATCATAAAGTTCACCAGTGTAAACTATACAATTCAACGTTGACTTTTGCATCTCTTTTTCTTTGACAATTTTTCATAGGATACAACTCACAGAACTGTTGGCACTATTGACACAGAAGAGTGAAATACAATGGTACAGCTGCTTAATCTTCTACTTTTTTTTTTTAATATACATGGAATCTCAAAAACAAACAAAAAAAAACAACCTTTTTTTTGAGACAGGGTCTTGACTCTGTTGCCCAGGCTGGAGTGCAGTGACATGAACACAGCTCACTGCAGCCTCAACTCTTGGACTCAAGTGATCCTCCTGCCCTGGCCTCCCAAAGTGCTGGGATTACTGGCATGAGCCACCACACTCAGCCTTCAATTTTTTTATTAAATAAAAAGATTGTTGCAGCCAGACATGGTGGCTCACGCCTGTAATCCCAGCACTTTGGGAGGCCAAGGCACGTGGATCACAAGGTCAGGAGATAGTGACCATCCTGGCCAACATGGTGAAACCCCATCTCTACTAAAAATACAAAAATTAGCTGGGCATGGTGGTGCCTGCTTGTAATCCCAGCTACTCAGGAGGCTGAGGCAGGAGAATTGCTTGAATCCAGGAGGCGGAGGTTGCAGTGAGCCAAGATCATACCTGGCGAAAGAGTGAGACTTTGTCTCAAAAAAAAAAAAAAAAAAAGAAAGAAAGGATTGTTGCACTTCTTCTCCAAGAAAACACCAAATGGTGGATGACACCAGTGTTGCGGGTGGGGGCAGCGCTGAGATGGGGAATGCGGTGGCTTCCGGGGATGCTTCGGCAGTGGCATCCAGAGCTAGGGTTGTGGCCGTAGACAGGGCCAGGGCCGAGGCCACAGAGCTCGTGGGGGCAAGGCCAAGGATAAGGAATGGATGCCTGTCACCAAGCTGGGCCGGATCAAGGACATGAAGATCAAGTCCCTGGAGATCTACCTCTTCTCCCTGCCCATCAAGGAATCTGAGATCACTGACTTTTTCCTGGGGGCCTTTCTCAAGGATGAGGTTTTAAAGATTATGCTGGTGCAGAAGCAGACCCATGCCAGCCAGCGTGCCAGGTTCAAGGCGTTTGTTGCCAATGGGGACTACAATGGCCATGTCGGTCTGGGTGTTAAATGCTCCAAGGAGGCAGCCACTGCCATCGCGGGCCATCACCCTGGCCAAGTTCTCCATGGCTCCCGCGCACAGAGGCTACTGGGGGGAACAAGGTCATCAAGCCCCACATCATCCCTTGCAAGGTGACAGGTCGCTGCAGCTCTGTGCTAGTGCGCCTCTGTGCTGGTGCACCTCATCCCCGCACCCAAGGGTACTGGCATCATCTCAGCACCTGTGCTCAGGAAGCTGCTCATGATGGCTGCTATTGACTGCTACACCTCAGCCAGGGGCTACGCTGCCATCTTGGGCAACTTCACCAAGGCCACCTTTGATGCCATCTCTAAAATCTACAGCTATGTGATCCCCAGCCTCTGGAAGGAGACTGTATTCACCAAGTCTCCCTATCAGGAAATCACTGACCATCTTGTCAAGACTCACACCAAAGTCTCTGTGCAGAAGACCCAGGCTCCAGCTGTGGCTACAACATAGGGTTTTTATACAACAAAAATAAAGTGAATTAATCCTGAAAAAAAAAAAAAAAAGATTGTTGCAAGCCCTGTCAAGTTCAGAGAAGCATATAAGCAATGGAATGTTCAAAGTTGTATGTGAATTACCTGAAATGTGGGCTGCAATATCTAGCTAGATTTTTGTGGAACAAACATTTCCACCAGTGGACTCCTCTACACGGAATATTGGCAAACGGAGCACAAGCTAATAAGATTAGAATGTGTACTTCAGCAATAACTTGTGCCTGAAAGGGTGATGATTCTGTTGTATCACAAAATTACAGATTTAAAGACAGCAGAGCCTACCTCTATTTTAATCAATAATTTTCCTATAGATCCATATCAAGTAATTTGGTAGTATAGGTATAAAAGAAAACAGCCTAAGTCATTTTTCATCTAAGCAATTCTATAGAGAAACTCTGAAGTAATTACTGATAATTTTAGTAATAATGTATAAGTTTACTATATATTAAATCCATTGTTCAACTCAAAAAACCACTGAGAAGTTCTAAGATCATCTCGGCAAACTCAGGTATTATTTAAAATCTGAAAAGAAAAACAATGAATCTTGCAGCCTCAATAGGTATATTTCACATTAGGACTCAGCAAAAAGCACTGTTCACACCTTTATTAAGATTTCAACTTAATAAGCATAAACACTTGCTAAATTAGTTCAGTTATTCAGGATTTCTCAACTGTACAGAGTAAAATAAATAGTCCATATTTAAACATACTACAATAAATACCATGGAGGGGAAAACATTCAATGGATCACTCAGAATAGCAAAATTCAAAGTGTTAACATAGAAATGCTCATCTATTCTGAACAAAGCATGAAGACAGGGTAAAGAGGAAAGGAAAATAAGATACACAGCTGAGAGAAAACAATATGTACTCACTGGTCGAGTTGCCTTGCATCTGAATGATGCATTTGGATTCCTTGCTGGTCTCTCGAGAATTGAAGGGCCTTACCCGGACAGCCACCTTCACTGAGGCTCCCGACATTTTAATGGCCTTGTTATATGTATGCAGTCCAGAAATAAAGAATCAAATCTTCTTTTGAAGTTATATCCAAGTTTCCTTTAAAAAGAAAAAAATTCCATACAAGGTAGTCAGAGTTAAAGCAAGCATGTGCTAATTTAAGTATAAGAACTCTATCTTAGTTCTACTTCTGTTTCCATTTATAGTTCTATTTTGTTTCCATTTATTCACCCCTTTTCTCCTGTGCAAATCTTTTTTAGAGACGGTGTCCTGTTATGTTGCCCAGGCTGGTCTTGAACTCCTGGGTTCAAGTGATCCCCCTGCCTCAGTCTCCCAAGTAGCTCAGACTACAGGCACACACCACTGAGCCTAGCCCCCCCTACAAATCTTATGTTGCAAACAGTAAATTATTAAATAGAAAATTAAAGACTAAAAGTTGTTTTCCTTTTCTATTATCTCTTTCTTATATCTAAAAAGTCCCTACTTATTAATAAAAAACATAATTACAAAGTAACAGGTATCTCTCTCTCTCTCTCTCTCTCTCTGTGTGTGTGTGTGTGTGTATGTGTGTGTGTGTGTGTTTCTGGATAGATCTTCAATAATATATGAAAAACACAAAATGCTTATTTGTTAAAGAAGTTCCTTAAACAAATAACTTTCCATCTGTAAATCACTTACTACTTTTCTTTAAAGAAGTACATTGGGCCAGGCACAGTGGCTCATGCCTATAATCCCAGCACTTTGGAAAGCTGAGCTGGGCGGATCACTTGAGGTCAGGAGTTCGAGACCAGCCTGGCCAAGATGGTAAAACCCCATCTCTACTAAAAATACAAACAAAAATTAGCCAGGCATGGTGGTGCAAGCCTGTGATCCCAGTTACTCTGGAGGCTGAGGCAGGAGAATTGCTTGAACCTGAAAAGCGGAGGCTGCAATGAGCAGAGATACCACTACTGCACTCCACCTGGTCAACAGAGCAAGATGCCATCTAAAAAAAAAGTGCACTGAACTCTCTACACATTATTTATAGTTTCAAGCATTTGGTTACATGATGTATATATTGTGTCACTAAATAGCAAAAGACAAAGAAACTTTCTAGTCAATTCCTTTAACTATGTAGTGATTTCTTTAACTTCAAAGATCCCTCGGATATGCCACTGACTCATGGCAGAGTCAAATCCATTACACTTCATTACTGAATGAAGTAATAGGAAAAATGTGAACATTTTTTAGAGGAATAATTTCCCTTCCCATAAAACAAAATCAACACTATTGTGTGACAAGAATCCAAATAAGTAACTTTTTCTTTTTTTTGAGACGGAGTCTCACTCTGTCACCGAGGCTAAAGTGCAGTAGCGCCAGGTGATTCTTCTACCTCAGCCTCCCGAGTAGCTGAGACTATAGGCATGTGCCACCATGCCCGTAATCTCAGCTACTCGGGAGGCTGAAGTGGAGAATTGTTTGAACCCAAGAGGCAGAGTTTGTAGTGAGCCGAGGTCACGCCACTGCATTCCAGCCTTGGCGATAGAATTAGACTCTGTATCCAAAAAAAAAAAGAAAGAAAAAAAGAAACAATCAATTTTTCTTGTCAGGAGAAACTCCACACTCTATCCAATAAAAAACTTTTTCAAGAATAACCAAACAAAAGATATAAAAAAGAAAAGTATTTACAAATCCAATTATCAGGAACCCACAATAGAACTTAAATCTGACCAATATTTTTTCCAGATAATTAAGAATGCTAACCTCCAACTACACAACACTGTAACCAATGAGTTCCCAAGAAAAGAAAAAATAAAATAAAAACCAAAGTCACTCTCTACCTCAATGCCCTACTGTCCAGGCTGGAGTACAGTGGCACAATCATGGCTCACTGCAACCTTGAACTCCTAGGATCAAGCAATCCTCCCACCTCAGCCTCCCAAATAGCTGTGACTACAAGCACACACCAACACACCCAACTAATACTTCATTTTATTTGTAGAGACAAGGTCTTGTTATGTTGCCTGGTCTGTTCTCAAATGCTTGCCTTAGCCTCCCAAAGTGCTGGGATTAATTACAGGTGTGAGCCACCACTTCTGGCCCCTTATTTTCTTAATAGCATCACTGCTATTTGAAATTCTTGTTTTTTGGAGCATGTCCATTGCCCAACTCTCACACTGTCTGTCTGTCTTTCTATCACCAGAAAGCTCAGAGACCTCATGTCTTGTTTGCTAGCATTTAGAACAAATAATACCTGACGTAAGAACTCAGTAAATGTTGAAGAAATGAATTAATGAAATATATTTCCCAGTTGTGAGAATGATCTGTTTAAGTCCTTTGCCTAGTTTACTGATTTTTTTGTTTTTGTTTCAAATGTTTACATTTTTAATAATAATGTTTTTCTATTTGCTACAATTTTTTTTCTAGTCTGTTTCCCATTTTACATTAAACTGATCGTTCACCAGGCGCAGGGGCTCACGCCTGTAATCCCAGCACTTTGGGAGGCCGAGGCGGGTGGATCACAAGGTCAAGTGATCGAGACCATCCTGGCCAACATAGTGAAACCCCGTCTCCACTAAAATACAAAAATTAGCTGGGCGTGGAGGTGCAGGCCCGTAGTCCCAGCTATTAGGGAGGCTGAGGCAGGAGAATTGCTTGAACCTGGGAGGCGGAGGTTGCAGTGAGGGGAAATCACACCACTGCACTCCAACCTGGCCCCTGGTGACAGAGTGAGACTCTGTCTCAAAAATAAATAAATAAATAAATAAATAAATAAATAAATAAAATAAACTGATCGTTTTTTAAATATAAAATATTTTTGTGATCACATGTGTCAAATGAAACCTTAGCATTATTAACCTTCCCAAGCAATGTAGCATGACTTACATCCATAAGTTGAGTAATATGCCAAGAGAATGAATGAAGCATTCAGGAAGAGCAAGACATAAAACACACTGCAACCTCCCAGAATTCCCTTTGAAATACAGCCATCATCTCCACTGTCCTCATGTCCGAAAACCCATTATCTTCTCCCCTAAACTAGGAATCTCTGCCAATCTTCCCTTGACTATCAATAGCATTCTCCCAGGCCCCAATACCATAAATCCTGGAGTCATCTTTGTCACTACTCTTTGAAACCTTGTATTATTACCAACATTATTCATAAAATACCATATGGAAACTTTTAAGATATGAAGTTGCTTTATTCTATCCCTCCCTTCCTGTCATTCCAACTGACATTACCTTAATCCATGTCCTTACTATCACATACCTAGGTTACTTGCAGTAGCAAGTAACAAGTACCTGGAATGTTCTTTGAGCTTTTAGTCTTTGATCCAGTAGTTCTTAAACAGGGTTGTGCAAAACAGAATGACAGGAGGGTCTTTTGAAAAACAAAGGCGTCTAGACTCCCCTAGTCTGGTATTCAACAGTTTTCAGACAGGCTCCAGGTTTGGATTTGTTGGTGTGGTTTAATTTTCAAAGATTAAGTTACAAACATCCAGCTAAGAACCACTGCTTGAACCTGTGGCAAGATCACCCCTGCAAAGCATGACTTTTTCAATGTCACTTTTAATTACAAGAATGTTCTCTTGTTCCTAATATGTTTTTTTTTAAAAAAAAAAAAAAAGACTGCAAATTGATTTTTAAAAATCAAATCTATAAATTCACAAGTTTATGATACTTTTTTAAAAAACTTCATTAATAGATGATTGGTTATAGAGGGAAAAAAATCATTATTCCCAAAACAGCAAATAAAACAGAATTAAGTATACATCTAGTCTGTATAGCCTGTATAAAATATTCTAGTATAACCAAATAGTCAATGAGGGTAATTTTTTTTTTTTGAGACAGAGTCTTCCTCTGTCACCCAGGCTGGAGTGCAGTGGCGTGATCTTGGCTCAATGCAATCTCCACCTCCTGGGTTCAAGTGATTTTCCTGCCTCAGCTTCCCAAGTAGCTGGGGAACAGGCGCCCACCACCATACCCAGCTAATTTCTGTACTTTTAGTAGAGATGGGGTTTCACCACGTTGGCCAGGCTGGTCTCAAACTCCTGACCTCAGGTGATCTGCCCACCTCTGCTCCTCAAAGGGCTAGGATTACAGGTGTGAACCACCGCACCCGGCTGAGGGTTAAGTCCTTCACGAAAAATTCTAGCTAATAAATGTAGAAGAAATGAAAGAATTAAAATGTTACCTTTTCCCAAACCCCCCTTTTTTTTTTGAGACAGAGTTTTGCTTGTCACCCAGGTTGGAGTGCAGTGGCACGATCTCGGCCCACTGAAGCCTCAATCTCCAAGGTTCAAGCAATTCTCCTGCCTCAGCCTCTCAAGTAGCTGGGATTACATGCGCACGACACCACGCCTGGCTAATTTTTGTGTTTTTAGTAGAGATGGCGTTTCACCATGTTGGCCAGGGTTGTCTCGAACAAAAGAAATACACAGCTTAGTAAGTATTCTTGCCCCACTCCCCTTAAAATAAAAATGTTTTTAAAAGCTAAGCACTGAATAAAACCAAGCTTTAGATCTGACTACCAGTTTAGAAGACATAAAGGAAGGAAAGAAGCAACTCAGATGACACATCAAAGACATCAAAGAGGTAATAAGGCAAATGTAGAATATGAAACAATCTACAAAACAAATTAGCCAGTTTCTTCAAATAGCATAATTGGGGAGAGAGTGTTATAAAAAAGACTTGCGTTATTTATCAACCAAGTACGATGAGTTTTCAATCAAGAAAATGTGTAAAATACTTTTTTTTTTTTTTTTCCAAGAGACAGGTTCTCACTCTGGTTACCCAGGCTGAGGAGCACACTGGCACGATCTCAGCTTACTGCAGCCCAACCTTCTGGGTTCAGGTGATTCTCCCACCTCTGCCAGTAGCTGGGATTACAGGCACATGCCACCACACCTGCCTGGCTAATTTTTTTATTTTTATATTTTTAGTAGGGGCAGGATTTCGCTATGTTGCCCAGGCTGGTCTCGAACTTCTGCACTCATGCAATCTGCCACTCAGCCTCTGAGTGCTGGTATTACAGGTGTGAATCACCATGCCTGGCCTAAAAATAAATTTTTTAGATAATCAGGGTAGTCTGAAGATAGGCTGGGTAGTAGATGATATTA